ATAGTTTTAGCTTAGCAAAATAAAACGGTGAATGAATATTTCCTGAGCGCTCACATGAGTAACTGAGTACTCACTGAGTAACAATACTCAGAAATTGTTAGTAGTACCAATATAAGTACTCATGGACGAATTATGAGTAAAGTCGTACTCTTCGTATGAGTACTTTCACTAGGGGTGAGTACAAGAAGTTCCACTACGACTGGACTTAATGAGAAAAACAGATGGATCCATACAGTTTTCATGCTTCATCCAAATTTGAGGTCAAACGTGAGAAGAAACTGTAAAACATTGAGAATTTGAAAAAATATGAACAAGATATGTTTTTTCATTAGATTAATTCTATTAAATTTGATTTTTTTTCCACTCACCTATCATATTTTCATGAAAGAATCCACCTAGGAGGAAATAACCTCCAACTTTACTGCACACACTTCGAAGTGTCTCATTATTTAGAGTGACACTTCGTCAGTTAAAGTAACGTAGTGACACAGTTATCTACTTGCTCCAATCCACTCTATTAAGCAGGCTGATTTGTGCGAAGCCCTTATGTATGAATCTGAAAAAAGAGAAGTAATGGTATTATACATGGATATGGAGTATCCGTTAGGAAATCAATAAATTTTATTTTCCTCCGAACTCGCTTACACATGCTGAGCAACGTGATAATAACTTAATTTGCAGGTGCAGTCACTAAATAAAAAAATGTGGCTTACCTTACCTTATATGCTGTTGCTCAGGTGAAGAACATGACTTGCACTCTGCTTATAAGTCAGGATGAAGCTCGTTAAGATCTGGCCCTACGTGAGCCACTCAACGTATGGTTGGGGAAGAGGTTTCATCTTTAAATCGAAAGGTCTAGACAAGTTGTCAGTAAGTTGAGCATAGAATTGATAAATTTATGTAACTGTGTTTTGAGCGAACTCTTGTTTAATACTATAGACAAAATAGTGAAATGTGCTTCTTTCGAAAATTTCGGGAGGTTGCAGAAAAAGAACATAACTCTATAAGAAGAGTGAAATGCAGTATATGATCTCCTTATTAAAGTACTCTACGAAAGTTATGCTGAACACTTTTTTGAATGCCTTAAAAATAACGAAATATTGGGATAAATAGTATGAAGTTTCAATCTCAATTACTTCCCAATCCAAAAAACAGTTTTATCAGTTTTAGTCCTTGTTATTTAGCGATATAAAACAAGCGAAGATAGCCATTTTGTAGTACTCAGAAATCGATGAAATGACACTATTTTAAATTCTTTATCATCACAAGAGGTGGAGAGGGGATTTTTCACCTTTTTAATTTTAGAAAGAAATGATCATTTTCAAATCTAGGTGTATCTCTAAATCTAACATACTTTTCACCATATTCTTTTAGTTTTAAGGGATGCAGAAAAGTGTTCAGTATGTTTTTCGTAGAGAATTATATGACGCATCTTTCAAAAGATATCCAAGCTTTATCATATTTTCTGAGCTGAGATATATTCAAAACAAAGAGCCACCAGTAGTTTTCGAACACCCTATATAAGTGCTATTCGTCTCTTTCTGTTGTTGTGAATTTTTATTATTGTAAGTTACCTTTTTGTCTATGTTATGTTTTTCATCCACATAATGACTAAGAATTCATGCACGTTCAGGAATACGGACTGCGAAAAAAACTTACTTGAGGTTTATTCAGATTATTGCGGATGACATCGCCTAGCGCCTCTCTCCGCAATAGCACCCACTCTGCCATGGAAAATATGGTACAATAAAGGATAAATCTGCATACGTACGATTTATGCACAAACAGATAGATATGATGCGTCTTGTATCATACACTAGATTGTAGATATCATACACTTCGCCACTTAAAGTGATACTTCAGTCATAAGTGCACACACTTGAAGTGAAATTTTTCTCCCTTGGAATCGGCACATATTTAGTTCTGCTCTTCGAACAATTTGAACGATTTTTAGTCTTTTGCGGCACGACTTATTGTTTCAGATGTCACCGATGGGCCTCCGGACTTGATTGGAACTGATTTTTGAGATGTTCGCCCTTTTCTCATATTTACGGCCAAATAATCTATCTGATTTAAAATAGGCCATACTAAAATTAGTTGTTGTTGTAGTGAAATCAATCAAATAAACTTGTTTAAACTAAAACTACTGTGCGCCTCAATAGGTTTTCCCCTATTAGTATTTTTCACTCGATTTCACTATTTTCTGTTCTTTTTTCAAAACCAAACCCATAGAAAGAAAGAGCAGACTCGACTTCATCTTTTGATCTAGGACAATCATGGATCAGATAGAAATCGAAACGAGAAAACCGCATCAAAACAAAACATAGCATTTTTTTCACTACATTTGCTATTGCATCTGAATTATATTAAAAGAAAATGCATTCAGATCAAAATGGTTTATCATAAAGAACATCGACTCCATATGTAATAGCACATTTTCGAAATGCGCTTGTGATTTTATTGTCTGATAGCGAAAGAAAAGTCTCTCAGAGTAGCGTTGGAAGATTACTTGTTGTAAACGGATGATGGCTTCTAATAGCTTCCTTGATGGAATGCCAAAGAGGATTATGTAATGGTGATAGGTATTTAGCAGAAGCTGTTGGCATGAAATAGATATCCAATACCGATTTACATTTCGCGTTTTTCAATGCTTTCATCATACTCTCTTTGTGATGAGCTCAACTTCTGTCGCAAATTAAATACATATTGTCGATATTTAACGCATTAATTGCTAGAGCTAATGTATTCGTAATCCAATCGTTCACTACATTGTTTCACTACATGTTATATCTGACAATGAGCTGTCAAATATGCATATAAAAGTTGCGTATGCACACGTCTATTTACATGCAAGCAAAGAAAAACTAGGGATATCAGTGTCTAATTTTGCAGATTGTAGTGACAAAAATGCTATGTTTTGTTTTGACGCGGTTTTCTCGTTTCGATCTCTATCTGATCCATGATTGTCCTAGATCAAAAGATGAAGTCGAGTCTGCTCTTTCTTTCTATGGGTTTGGTTTTAAAAAAAGAACAGAAAATAAGTGAAAAATACTAATAGGGGAAAACCTATTGAGGCGCACAGTAGTTGTACAAGTGTGTGAATCGAAAATAGTAAGGAATGATCACACTACTTTTTCTGATTATCCTAGTGTTTTAATAATTATTATGATTAATTTAGACCGGATGTGTCGTATTATTACGAAAAGTGTACACCAATTCATAGTTAGTTATTTCAAGTCATACAGCGATTGTTCTCCAATTTTACCGATATTTCTAAACTATATTCCATGGTTTCAATTTGAGTTTTCCACCTATTTCCTTGACAGACTCAGATGGGTAAGGACTTTTAACTCAATATCACTTATGAAATAATAAGTAACATGAACTAAATAAATAAATAAATTTTTTTTACATTTAAAACGTATAAATAGAATAAGGCACATGTTATGAAGAAATGTAGTACATGGAATCAGTGAATCACTGAACAATTTTTCAAAAAAATATCAAGAAGACTTGTGATACATACAAAACGTTCTAGATAATGCTTAGTTCAACTTATATAGAAGATGAAGTTGCATCTCAACCATTATGAGAAAAATCTATACAAAAATTCACCCAAATCATTTTCGATTTTACCTTCTAGATGTAACGTTTCATGATCATATCGAGTGACGTCTTCATATATAGTAATTCCTATTCTTTGTTGGATATATTTTCTATTAACGAATAACTTCTATCACTAAAGAACTTGCATCACTAAAAGAATAGCAACAGGCAATCATAGTTCGATTTTTCTTTGGTTTTGCTGATGTGATGAGTTAAATCTAATACCACTCTTTCTAATACCGTACTAGATGTTAAGCTTCATTGGTAATGACACTTTTTAAATCATGATTAAGAACACTATTATCAATTCGACTAAAACGTACATTATATTGTCGTGAATGGCTTTCTAGATGATTTATTTTTTTGAATATTGACAATACTCTTGTGTCAACGGATTGTTTGGTCAATCTTCTTATTCAGTAATCCGACTGAAGTCTTTAAGCAGCACTAATCTAGAGAGTTCAAACACTGCTGCAGTAAAAATATTTTAGATTAGTCTTTTAGTGCATGTCGATGTCTGAGAGTTTAGTAATCTATTCATTTTCACCAATCTCTCACTTTGTTATTGATGATAATGATACAATAAATGTTTACGTTTCTATAGCTCCTTCTCCGTTGTCAGCGGAAAGTGTTTGACTCTGTTCATTCATCAGACTCAAACTTGTCTCTTTCAGATGTCGTCGAAAATGACGACGTATTAGCAATTTTCGGATTGGCCACGGCAATTGATCAACGCCTTTTGTATCATCAGCCATCGCTTTCCACTGTTCGATAATCTGTTGATCGAGTGAAGAACGCCGTCGCATTCTAGGACGATTCCAGTCGGATATGGGCGACGAATCGTATCGTGGTTTTGGTGAGGAAACATCAATTGTAAGGGAATCATTCCTTAGTAGACGATTTTTATTTAGAACGGCCAGTTGTTTCTCAATGTTTTTCATGCGGAGAGTTTCAGCTCGACTACGTCGATCGTCCATGTCATTCGTATCACCGAGATAAATGTTCCACAATTTGTCACGCCGATCTTTATCTCTTAGTTCTTCTAAACTTAGAGAGAAAGTATTCACTATCGGATCATGGAACCGTAACGCAAACGTCTTAAACAATCAGCAGTACAGAAAGGAGAAATGTGAAGAAAAAACTGAGTAGGTGCTGAAAAATTATGAACTATCAATTGGTAATCACGAAAACTGTTACTCATAATCGTGAGTTTTCTCCTCTTTCAATTGAAATAAATGAGATTCTTATCGAGAACCAAATTCCTTTAGATTGATAATGTCAGAACATGCTAGACCATCAGCAAGTACTGTGCACTGAACTGTAGATCGTAACTAGGGGTGTTAATTTAGTGTTACTTTGGAAAATAAATGTAAATGAATCACTTAAAAAATAAAGATAAATAAATCAAAAAAAAATTTATCTTTATTTTATAAAAGTAAATGATTTATTTATATTTATTTATTTATTTCTACCTTTTTTTTAAAAGTAAAGGTAGAAATAAATAAATAAATATAAATAATTCATTTACTTTTATCCATTATTATAAATGAACAACAAAACTAAATTAACACCCCTAATCGTAACTCATACTTAACCAGCAGCTACAGTCTACCGAGATAACATACAAGAGTACATAAGCCGCGAGAATAAACTAGAGGAACAAAGAAAACGATGAGTCATCGCCCCCTAATGATTAGTAGTTTAAGAATGCCACCAAAGTCCTTGCATAGAGTAAAAACAGATTAAATTGGATTAAAACCATTGAAACTATCCAGCAGAGATGAATCGAGAGCGATTTACGACCACCCTAGTGAAACTTCTTGTAACCAAGATCTTGACTTCTTGAATTTTTTCAGTAAGATCTTGATTCAAGATCTTGGTAAGAAAATATAAGAATTCAAGAAATTTCAAGAAGTCAAGATCTTGA